TGGCCCAATTCTATTGTACTTTCAAAGAACTGTCCTGCTGATGGACAAAATCCAGGCTTCTTTACATAATTTGTTTCCAACATTTGGTTGGGTTGGAAAGAACATGATCCCTGAAGACATGCAGCACATGGCTTCTGCAGTTGCTTCCAACCCTTACTACAGCATCTTCCTCCCCCATCACATGACCATGAAGGAGGCAGGTTTAAGAATGGAGCAGAGAGCAGCATTCCAAGCCACTGTCCATTGCCTCTCTGGAAAAGGTACATCAGATGAATGCTTTCTGGATCTGTTTTTCTCTGCACTCCCCAGTCAGATCTAGCCCATTTCTACATTCAGTATAACTTTTTCCAACTTCTCTCCCATTTTCTTCTGTATTCAGAGAGTCATACTGCTGACAAAGTCTGGAATCTCTTTACATAATTTCTTTCCAACATTCAAAGAACAGAGTAAAAAGGGAGTAACTATTTTATATCTGAAGGGCTGGCTATTGTGCTCCACCTATACAGAATTTCAAGTATGTTCTATTGTCAATTTGTGAGAACTTTATCCTACTCTTCCTTTTCCCTGAAACGATTTCAAGTTATGTCCTTTAAACAAAGAACAGGGTATAAACTACACTAAGTAAAAATTGCCTCAAGATACCAAGGGATGGTGAGAGTTCGGGGAGTTGATAGAGTTCCGGCTTTGAATTTCTCAATGAAAGTCCCCCTTCAACTTAACTGGCCACCCACTTCCCTCCCTTCCTCTGGTCATCCCACTATTCCCCTTAGACAGGTGGACTAATAAGGCATACCTGTAGAGCTGATGCTCGCTTAAGCAGGCTTTCCTCAAACTGCGGGCAGGTAGCCACCTTGTCCCGCAGTTCTCTGTGCAAGGGATCTTCAAGCAGAGCCTGATTGAAGGCAATGTCATGCTGACCAAGGAGACTGAATTTGTCCCGTCGGTAGAAAGTGGCGAGGCCCTCGTGCTGCTTCTCTTTGATCCTGAACAGCCCCTCCAGGCCGAAGGCATCAAGCGCAGGCCCCAGGCTGTCCACGAAGACCGACTTGTCCACCTCCTGCAGGCAAATGATGTCGGCGCTGTAGCCGGCCAGTTCTTTTTTGAGCAGGTTTTGCCGGTAGTCGAGCTCCAGCGAGTAGGGAGCACAATACGGATAGAGCACGGTCCGCGAAAGCTCGGTCCGGGCGTAGATGTCGGCCAGGATGTTGTAGGTAACCATGCGGATCAGTCCCGGCCCCGTGACTTTCTTGGTGTAGAGATGCCGCGCCTCGAAAGTGCAGGCGCCCGGGCCGGCCTCCACGGGGCCTATACTTTCCACCTCGCGGGGCAGCCCGAAGCGCCGCTCGCTGTTGCCCGGGATGCAGACGAGCTTCAGGCGGCGCCCGATATGCGCGTTGGTCGGCGTGAAGACGCGCTCGGAGCCGGCCGGGGCTTCCGCCCAGCCGTCGCTTGCGGCGGCCGCTGCCGCCCCGGCCGAGTCGATCTTCTGCTCCTGATACCAACGGAAGAGGCAGTCTTGGGGAGAGCCGAACTCGACCTGCAGCTTGGGGCACACGGGGAAGCCGGCCATGAGCGAGCGCGGAAGCTGCACTTCGGTCAGAGTGGGTGGGTTGCGCTCCACGCGGTAGCGGGTCTCGCCGATTTGCAGCACCGTCCCGTCCTGCCAGGCCTCCTCGTTGGGCACGTCTTCGGCCACGGCTTCCCCGTCCTGGGAGAAGAGGCGAACGGCGACGAGCTGCGAAAGCGGCAGCGGCGGCGTCCCGGGGTCTGCCTCGGTCTGCGCCTTCTTGCTCTTCTTGGCCTTCTTGGCGTGGCCTTTGCTGACGTTGTTGGCGATGCGAGCCAGCGCCTGGCCGAGAGGCTCCGCTTGGTCCCGCTGCAGATGCCGCGTCTTACCGTCTTGCAGCACGAGGGAAACGCTGAGCTTAGGCTCCGCCGGGACGCAACGCACCACAGCCCGCTCCATGGCGGGCAACGTGGCGGTGAAGGTGGGGAACCACCAGCTCAGCCGCTGTTTGGCTCGGCGCCTCAACCCGGGAAGGGCCTTCAGAGTGCCCAGCAGACGCCGCAGGAGCCCGTGGCTGACACCATTCATTTGCTCGTCTCCTCGGCCGCCCCGCAGCACAGAACCGCTTCGGCCGCCCTGCCCCGCTCCGCCCGGGCCAATGAGAAAACCCGCAGCGAGGGAGGGAGGGAGAGAGGGAGGATGAACCGGGAAAGGAAACGAGCGCTTGCCCGGAAATGGCGCCCGCCCCTAAGGGCTGATTAGAACTAGGTAGAAAGAACCCGGAAGATGGCGAGGGTCAAGAGTCTCTTTAGACGTATCCATGAGCGTACGAAGCACTCCTGACCGGAAGTGGTCTTTCCCGGTCGGCGGCTTGCCGTTTGTTAGTGAATGAGGGCTGCGGGTTGTTCTTTCTCTATCCCAGAACTGGATGGATTTCGGGCACTTGAGAATTTGGCGTTTTAGTAGAGCCTAGAGATCTATTGCTTAGGGCCAGTTGCAAAAAGAATGGATAGCCAAAGTTAGATGCAAAACTTCGCAGTATCGACTGGAGCTTGGAAGCAACACACTGACGTCTACTACTGTACTGTTATCTACTTATGCAGTAAAATCTAAATCTAAGTTATTGTATGTCAGGAGTTCTAAAGCACTAATACTGTACAAAGAGGCATGGAATGTTAAACGGTGGCAAGTCAAAAACGTTTTGACAATTTCCTGCAAATCATCTAGTGGATTCTAATTTCTATTTTGCCCATAAACTTCCTTCCCCTTCAACAAACTTACTAGTTTTCTAGTTCTGTGGACTTACAGTATTGAGCATATCCACATTGGACTACATCTGAGGCTCACTGCTACTGTATGCTACAAAATAATAATTATGCATGTTTTATTTCTATGTTGCCTTTTGACTAAAAAGACACACTCCCCCACCCCAAGATGTTTCTTGCTGCCTATTTGAAAAAGAAGGCAGAATTGTACAGTTTGAGTTGTACAGGAGAGCACTCTTTACCACATGGCCAAAGAACAAGCTTCTGCAAGCAGAGGTGCCCTCAAAAGGAAAGATTTCTAACAATACAGGCAATCCCTTAACTAGTCAGGCTCTAAAATCATTAAAATATTAAATATTCCCAAATAATTTCAGTTTTTAAGGACACTGGGAAAAACTGCTCCTACAGTACGTTTTGGATGTGATGGAATGGAATTATGAAGGCCAGACTCAGGGAGGAAAACATTTTCTTTCATCT